TGTCCTTCAAGGTTTCCTAGGAGCCTTTGAGGTTGGCTACATGAACTAGTGATGCTCTGAAGGTTGGCTACCTGAACTAGTGATCCTTCCAACCAAGGGAGGTTCATCCTGGTCAACGAGTTGTAGCAGGGCCTCTGAGCAATCTGCGCCACTCTTTTCCGTCAACCTGCTTGTCTGAGAACGGATTTGACCTGAGGGCTGGACAATCATACATATCAATCATATCATACGAAAAGGTCCCAAAAGTTCACACTACCAGCAAACACACCCAGCAAGACAAACAAGAGGCACACTACCAAAAGCACACTTTGGGTAAAACAAAGTGATGGGAGCCAACCCTAGAAGCAGATTTAAACGATTGAGGCTGCAATGCCTTTGATTTCATCTTCATTTCTCCACCCTTAGCTAACACCACAGTAGCACACACCTAGCAAGACAAACAAAAGGCACACTACCAAAAGCTGACATAAAAAAATGGGAGCACACTAGATGAATCCAATTTGCTAAGGATTCAATATCCAAAAGGCTCCAAAGCAAAAGAGAAAAATAAGAACATACTTAAATCTCTAGCAGTGAAATAAAATGAGCAGCATCCAACCCACGTGCAAAAAAAATGTATGGCCAACCTCAAAATCAACCCCAATCTGATCCAATAAAATTGATGGCACCCATCCCATGCTTTTTAACTATTTTCCATTGGAGGATGCCAACCCCTGTACCTCCGTTTGCAGCAGCCCAGGTTGGTCGTCACTATAGTGATGGCAACTATTCCAGGGGGCCAGCCCCCCCCATTCTAGTATGACTACCAACCGGGGATCTGAATTCAAGCCTTTTCAACTGACTGTTGTTGTCCGACTTCCCTGTAGCTTGCATTTGGTTTCTGGTGCAGTTTCCTTCCTTTGGATTCAAGTCATCAAATTTTATCCCATTGCGTGTCGTCATCCAATGAGTCATGAGCTGAGATTTGAATCTTTGCTATGTCCCATGTCTCTTTGGGGGGTCGGGGGTTCACATTCAGGTTTAACCTGATTCCAAGAGAAATGGTCCATAACTTGAATTCAAGCGCAGTGGAAGTATCAGTGTTGAGACAAGGTTAGATAGATTCAAGTTTGAGCCACGGCGGCGTTGTCAGGGAGGAGCTTAGATTAGATTTGAATTTGAGGCATGCTGGCTACATCAATAGCAAGATTAGATTATATAGATTCAATTCTAAGCCCCAGTCTTTGGCCTCAGTCGAGAATCAACCACAGCCTCTGTGTCCTTTTCCGGCCTGTGGATCTCCTAGAGATTCTAGCCACGCTGTATCGTCAAGGGATGATGCAGATTGTGCCTGCAGCAGCAGCAGCAGAGTTGCGCAGAGAGCGGCAGCAGCAGATGTGGCTGAAGCAGAGGAACCCGAAGCAGAGGTTGCCAGAGCCGATCCTTTGCAAGCAGTGGCGCCTGATGACTGTGGCAACAGGTGGCCAGGGACCAAGTGACTGACAGTGAAACTTTCAGAGAGGCGTGGAAGCGATGGCCTGCTTCTAAGAAGATACTTGCATTCTACACTTTCTCTGAGCTCTTAAGGAAAAAAGAGCTCTTATAGGTCGGTGCAGCATATGCAGCGATTGTGACAAAGCCTGGTGCGTTTCTTTGTCGGCTGATTCGACTTTGGTGATAGATTGACTAAGGCTCAGCAAAAGCGGTCGGAGAAGACCAAACGAATGCTTGGCCCACCCAAACATAACAAAGGGCGTGTCACGTGTGCGACAACCTTACGAAGCCACCGCTGCAGTTCCAAAGTAGCCAGCGCAAACACCTGTGAGTGTGAAGCAAGAGAAGTGAAGCAGTTCGAGCGCGCTGGGACGCGCAGTCGCGGTGATAGGCATGAAGGTGGAACAAGCTCTAAACCAAATTGTATCCAATGCTCTGTCTGGGTCGCAAGCAGTGTCAGGCTTAAATCTTTGTCTTAGCCATTACTAGTGAATGGACGGGAACCGACCATAAAACGAGCTTTAAATCCAGATTTACAGTACGTAAGCCTTTCTTGAATCCAATTTCAACCCATCCCTCCGAATTACTCTTACCATCAGGAATCTCTTAGTGTGCACCACACTGTGCTGGTGAAACAGCACTCATCTGCACAGAACATTACAGTAATTTTGGGAAACAGTCTTTCTCGCTCAATTTGTGCCAAGGCACGGAGGCCTGAGCACGGCTTGGCATTGTGATCTTCCAAACAGGATGGATTGCTGTCCACTTCCTCGCCAGGCACTTCGCGGGGGAAAGGACGACACCTCAGCTGAGGAATCCAGGGATCAAGGTGCTACACGTCTCCGAGCTTGTCTAATACACTGGGAATCGTTTCACCTCTAGGAACAAGAAGCTTTTTAGTATGTCGTTGAAGCTTCTTAGTAACAAGAAACTCTTTAAAAGGAAGCTTCCTTCGATTGCTCATAGAGCCCGCTCTAAGATTGATGCCCCGCGATGCCTTTCTTCGTTTCATCAAAATTCGGTCAAGAATCTGCGGCAGCTGCCCAAGCGTATCGCTCTGCATCCTGCATGGAGCAGGGTCCAGTGGATTCCGGATGTTGAAAACGTCATGTGTCCAGCTTTCTGGAAATACAACAAAAGCATGCTGACGCAGTGTTTGCACAAGTAGAATGTCATGAATGTCATGGATGTCCTGCTCCCAAGGAGTATGTTTGAGCTGCAGCGCTTCATGAACCAGAATTCCAAAACGCCAAAGCAACTGGTCCAATGCGACCGGGTTGAAACCTTGCCCATCGACCCTGCAGCCGTCGCACAGCATTGCCATCAATGACGCAACTTGCAAATGAGCAGCAGCCTCACCGAGCAAAAAGGTTAGCCATAAAAAAATAATTGAAAAAGGAACAGCACTCAGAGCACAAGCACAGCAAAACCCTCTATTTATATATATATGTTATATGTATGCTATAGCCTGAAAGACCGTAGTGTATGCTGAAACTCAACACATATCACCTGCTGGCATCATTCCCATCCACCCGCACAAGAAAAGCTGCCGGACTTGGGGCTAATTTCACCTTATTTGTTTCACGCATTGCCTTGGCAAGAAATAGACCTCTGCGCAAGTGCAAGTCCAATGATTTTAGGTGTTAATTTGGTTTAAGAGCCAGTCTGATATTTGGAGATTTAGTCCTGGGCCTCGTCAAGGTCCCGCTTTGCAAAGAGGTGTGTGTATGCGCAGCTTGCATGATACTGCATAGCATCTGCCAAGCCTGGGACCAAAACATGCTACCGTGTGATGAGCTGCACAGCGTTAGCCTGTTTCAAACGTTGAAGGGCAAATGTCTAGTACAAGAGACCAGGCACAGTGGCTCCAAAGCAAGTGCTGCGCAGCAACTTCATCAGGCAATGTGCGAAATGTGCAAACTGCCGGCGGCACCAGGTCTGGAACGTCACGGCCTACGGTCCAAATCTTTTGAGCTTAGTCTGCGACAAGCTTTCGGGTTCTTGCCCTGCTTTTCAATCCTTTTCATTTCCAAGGCCTTCTTGGTGGGCAGGCAATGCGTCTGTCCACTGGCGCAAAGCTGTCAGCAGCTGGTCGCTGCAATCCGAAAGTGCTGAAGCCTGACTTGCAAGGATTTTAGCAAGGTTTGCAACATACCCTGTACAGTTCACCAACACATCCAAAACATTCCAAAACTCTATGTCATGTTCCCGGACACCTTCCACCACCCACTTTGGCATAGAGAATGTGGCGAAAAGCGTCCCCTTGACTTCCTGAAATCCCGGGCGGAGGAACGGAGTTCCTCAGAAGACGACACTGCGAGATTGCTCGATTGGTCGAACGAAAAATCAAAACGCAGCTTCATGTGCGTATAGCTGAGAAGCCTGCAACATATCGTGTTCATCTTGCCAAACCTGCCCAATCGACCATTTCAATGCTCAACAAAACTTGCACCGAGCATTTGCCATCAAATCATCTCACGTCTGCAAACCCGCTGGAAAAGCTCTTCTCGTCGAGGGCTGACAGGCATGAGTTCGTCCAATCGCAGGAACTGAACCTGCACCCCATGTGCTGCCTACACAGCTTTGTTGGTGAAACAGCGCGGTTGAGCATGGTCGGAGTTGAGTGTAATAGAATCGAAAATTGGTTTAGTTTAACCCCAGGGGGTAGGGGGAGAGCTGCAAGAAGTGCAGTTGCTGTTAAGTACTTGAAGTGTTCAGTAGAGTTATTTGATTTGGATGTTGGAAATGCAGGTCTTGGAGTCTGGGCATGACAAGTGTGAAAAGTTTATGTCAAAACAAAGTTGAAGCTAACCAAGCCTACATTGGGTTGAGAACGGTTTTGAAAACCTGAGCTTAAGCAAAGGTCCGAATTCTGGAAGGCTTCCAAATTCTGGAGTTCATCGACTAAAATGCAACGCTACGGAAATTTTGTTGTAGTTCAGCTACAAAATGGTACGAACATAGACCCCGAACAGTTTCAGCTGGATTTGTTGCATCAACGCCTTGAGTCTTGAGTTCCAATGTTGGTGCATACGTCTGCAATCATATTCCAAAAGCCACCTAAAGCCTCCAGGTGTTTGCGAACAGCGTGCAGACCCAAAAAGGGTGCTCTTTGGCACGCACTGTCCACAGAACCCTGAAACTTCGAGTGGCATCTGATCAACGTTGTATCCGGATGGCCTCGATCCCGAAGCAGCAGCCGGCTCTTCTTCAACGTAAATGTTCCTCCACGCTGTCACCTCAAGATCAACAGGTTCAGCTTCGACCTCGCGCGCGGGATACTGCAATCCAGTCTCCCCAGCTGTCTCCTCTGCAGGCGCCGGCAGTCCACGAAAACTCACTGTATTGCGCACTGGCAACTCAATGCGCTCTCGCAAAACAATCGCACGCCTCCGCGAGGCTTTCTAACAACCTTGACCTGACGGGAATACCACGTGTATTGCGGCCTCGAATAGTAAGCAAAGTATGCAAGAAAGTTCTGAGACAGATTCCAAACACTCTCACGACGCTTCTTGCGAAGGGCTGACTTACCACCTCGCTCACCTCGAGTCCGCTTTTCCACGCAAAGCCGTTGTACGGCTGATAACCCAAAGCAAGTGTAGCGATGAGCCTTCCTTTGGGAAACTAGAAACTCTACAACTTCCAAACACAACACTCAACAAGTCGAAGCAACAGTTCGGACTGGCACTCCTTTTCTCCTTGAGCCAAAATTGGTCCATGGTCCAAAGCTGAATGACGATACGAAACTGTTCGAAGGAAACCTGGTGTATGCTGTACACGTGCTGTGACTCCTGGTTTTTCTTTTATGTCATTTCACATAGCGTATTCCTTTCGCATGGATCCTTTAATTCACATAGAGTGATCATTTTTGTCACTAAATCTTGGTCTCAATTTGTAAATTGGTTTCCTCAGATGAGGATAGTACTAACCCGGGTCCGGAATTAATCAAAGGGGGGAGATACGCTCTCGCTTTTTGATTCACGCATAACTCTGCTACAGTATGGCTATCAAAAGGGAGCTTAGGTTGCCAACTATCATTCTATTTGATGATGTCCCACGTTCGTTTCATACTTTCCAGTGTCCAATTTCTTCTCGGTCTACTTGCTCTTCAGTGAGCCGGAACTTTGGGAATAGCAGTGTTGGAACAACAAGTGACTCGGTGTTGTGGATGTGAGCGATTTCTGCGGATGATATGGCCAAGAAACGTTAATCGTTTCACTTCCAGTATTTCAGACAATGGTTTGATTTTACATAATGGGCCTTGTGTGGGAGAGCCAACCGAGACAGTGGTTGAATCCCTGACGCTGAATAAAAGTTGATCACAATTACTTGGCATCTTCATGATTACTTGAGGTCACAATCAAATACGTGTGAAAAGCGCATCCCAGAGTCGCATAATTTGCTCTCTACTCTTTTCGGTATGCAAAAAAAGGCCACCTAACTCTTAGGAAGTACGCGCCAAGCCAAAATCAGACTCCGCCGTACAAGACAATCTGGATTTCAGATCACAAATGGATTAAATCTGAATTATCCCCGGTTAGCTCCCAGAGAGGGCTGGACACACTGGATATTTGGTGTAGCCAGCCTCTAAGTAGAGATAATTTGGGTCTAGCCAACGTTGGTAGGTAGGCTTGGTGCAGGTGATGGTTAGCTACCTCAGCTTCGGGAAAAGCTTGTCCTTCAAGGTTTCCTAGGAGCCTTTGAGGTTGGCTACATGAACTAGTGATGCTCTGAAGGTTGGCTACCTGAACTAGTGATCCTTCCAACCAAGGGAGGTTCATCCTGGTCAACGAGTTGTAGCAGGGCCTCTGAGCAATCTGCGCCACTCTTTTCCGTCAACCTGCTTGTCTGAGAACGGATTTGACCTGAGGGCTGGACAATCATACATATCAATCATATCATACGAAAAGGTCCCAAAAGTTCACACTACCAGCAAACACACCCAGCAAGACAAACAAGAGGCACACTACCAAAAGCACACTTTGGGTAAAACAAAGTGATGGGAGCCAACCCTAGAAGCAGATTTAAACGATTGAGGCTGCAATGCCTTTGATTTCATCTTCATTTCTCCACCCTTAGCTAACACCACAGTAGCACACACCTAGCAAGACAAACAAAAGGCACACTACCAAAAGCTGACATAAAAAAATGGGAGCACACTAGATGAATCCAATTTGCTAAGGATTCAATATCCAAAAGGCTCCAAAGCAAAAGAGAAAAATAAGAACATACTTAAATCTCTAGCAGTGAAATAAAATGAGCAGCATCCAACCCACGTGCAAAAAAAA